AGTGAAAGTAGTTAATATATATTGACTATCAACAACCACAGAATAGTAATATACATCAACAGGGGACAGTATAATAATCATCCCAGTGAAAGTAGTTAATATATATTGACTATCAACAACCACAGAACAGTAATATACATCAACAGGGGACAGTATAGTAAACATCCCAGAGAGGCAGCATAGTAATCACAATACCCCGGGACCCTACATTAATTAACATGGGTGTTTATTGTGTGTTTGGGCTGGGCAAGACAAATAGTCGATTTTGATCTGAAGCCACAGTGATGCATGTGCTCTTCTTTAGACGCCGCGGTAGAAACGTTCCAAGAAGTCCATCTTTAACGGATTGTTTAGGTCCTCTTCATCCTTCCAGTATCGCATCTGAACGATGATAGTCATGGGGCCATTGTTAGTATAAATAGTATTTGTGAAGCATAGCAACGCTGTATTGGTATGTGATATAAAACAGAGGAGTTCACATTCTACTGCAATTCCACGATTAGCTACGCCACCGTAATCGTAACCGTAATTGTATTCGAAGTTGAATTCGCAATGATATACGTAACGCGAAACCGAACTGCTCCACAAGCATCAAGACTGACAAATTGCAAACTAGGGTACAAATATACATTCTCGGACAAACTGGAATATGCATTTCGATCGCCAGACAAAACTGGGGTATGGATAGACATTGTCAGACAAAGCTGGAGTATCAAAATACAGTGTCAGACACAACTAGAGTTCAAATATACGTTGTCAAACAAAGCTGGTGTATAAATATACAGTGTCAGACACAACTGACGTATGAATACATTGACAAACACAGCTAAAGTATTAATATACATTGCCATACATATGTATAAGTAGGATAACAAACACGTGTGTGCGTGCAATACATACACGCCTAGAAAAGTAGAACAAGTGATATATGCATCCGCAAAGGTACTGAACAAACACACATTTCAGGCACGCAATTTGTGCATATACCAAAAGCATGCAACCTGTGTACATACTTAGATACAAATCAAACACCCACGGATATGAAAATAAGAGTCAGCATACGATGCATATGCAAGAGCCAATTACATGCGTAAACGACACCGTTCCAAGCCCCCCCCAATGCATTCCTTTGACCGACTTACCACGTGCGATTTTTGCTTCCAGAAGTGGATCGTTTCATCGTACTCCATCTTGCCTTTAACAACTAGCATATCCGCTACTCGAATGTCTGTGATCTGGATACACGCAGGGTGAAAGAGCACATTAACAGACAGAAGATAGAAGACAATATGTTTGTCGCTTGTACTCATTAGAGGTTTGAAGACAGGCAGATACATACACGGATGTTAACAAAAGAAAAATGCACAAAAAAACCAAACGAAAAACGGCGAATAAACATTTGATCCTAGATGCCGCAGAGAAGTAGGACAGTAAGAGACATACCCACACGTGCCTTGCTAAAAGACCAGTACCTACAAATGCCAAGTGGTCTACGATGACCCCACAGATAGCAGCACAGGTTTCAGCCCACACACTAACATACATGGCACGGACTAAAGGTTCCATCCTAGATGCCGCAGAGAAGTAGGCCAGCAAAAGATATACCCACACGTGCCTTGCTAAAAGGTCAGTACCTAAAAATGCCAAGTGGTCTACGATGACCCCACAGATAGAAGCACAGGTCTCAGACCACACACTGACATACATGACACGGACTAAAAGTTTCATCCTAGATGCCGCAGAGAAGTAGGACAGCAAGAGACATACCCACACGTGCCTTGCTAAAAGGCCAGTACCTACAAATGCCGTCTACGATGACCCCACAGATAGCAGCACAGGTCTCAGACCACACACTAACATACATGACACGGATGGACCCTAGCATGTACGATCGGCTTGGGGTTGTGTGTGGCGGTGTATGTGCCAACTGAAACGGTACGCGAGTTTGTCTGCTGTACTAAAGGACACTACAGTCGCACCACAGAGGCACGGTAATATCAACAGGCTTTAGCGATGGTCGCTTGACCACCATAACGGCACATAATAAATTAATGCTCAGCAATCGCAGCCACAAATCATATGTCCCTATACGCACTAGCGCGGGTTGCAATCTGAATCATAGACGTACGTTTTCGTTCAGCATAAAAGGTTTGGACGAATACATTCCAAGTCTCCTTTAGCGACACTACACATCAGTACTTCACTGCTAAAACCACTGCACAAACGGATTCGATCTGTATAACTATGCAAAGACATACGTTTTTGTTCTTCTTGAACTCCTCGCGGATCTTTGACCTGACCTCGGACACTGGGATATCTAAGGCGTACATATCCGTGATTTTGGGAGCCTATTGCCAAGAATGTGGTGTAGATATGACGAAATTAGTTATTGAACGCGTTGAACATGGGTCTAGCAATATCAGTACAAGCAATATTGACTGAAAATATCAAGTTAACGCAAGCGTGCCATACGAGAGAAGAATCAGGCGGGGCAGCTTCG